TTTCTTTCTTTGCACAGGTAAACAGCACATTTCTTCTTCTACGCTTGCATTATCGGCAGAGCAGACGCTCTGATGATTGAATGATTGAATATCAGGACCAAATTGAATTGTGGAGCTCAGCGATAAGGGGTGAAGGAATCCCAAGTTTCTTCATTATCAGAGTTGAGTTTGGTCTTTTTTGTTAATATTTGTATTGCCTTCTTTTTGGCAGCACTTTACAGATTCCTTAAGGGGTTTAGGTCAATCAAGTGATACCGTGGGAATTACAGGAGCAGCTACACACAAAGAATACCACAGTTGTTGCATAAGTCCTGGACACATTTGTGTGGTGCTACTTGAAGCACTGCCTCTATGCCCGTACCATAGTCCATATGCTTTTCTTCTCCAAATTCTGAAATGGGTTTTTTATGACAGTTTTTTAAGTCTAAAGTTGTCTACCTTGCTCATCTACCTATTAGTCTACCTACCTATTTACCTACATTCGTCATGACTCTACAAAGGTAATAGAGTGGATAACACATACAATCTCCTTTTTTAACAGAAAAGTTAATAACAGGAAAAAAACAATCATGAAAAATTAAAACAATCATGACAAAAATAAACACATATCACTCATTATGTAACATCTCTATGATGTAAATTATTGATGTAATCCACTTTCTATTCATTTTCTAAAGTACCTGTTTTACTCTAGGCCTTTCTGTATTATCTGGATTTTAACATATCCCTACAAGAGCACAAATATGGGCATCTTCACATTTAAATCTAGACTGTTGTGGTTAGCTTGACAAGAAACTGACTAAAATATTATCTTGGGTTCAATTCCAGTGCATATTTGCAGAAATAGTTTTATCATCTGTGGTGAAATGAGCCCTGGGATGTCAATTTAGAGCCCTGGTTTGTCAGATCTATAGGAAATGCTGATTACGGAAGCAAAATGTGTATTGCTTTACTATTAGACCTACAGTGACATTCTGATGTCATATAAATGATATTTGAAATGCAAAGTTATAATTTTCAAAAACCAGTAATATCATGTATAAGAGATGCGTTCAAACTTAAATCTCAATAGGCATTAGCTTTCACTCTAAACTCAGTTTTCATTTTCAGAACCATGACCAAAGGAGTGGAGATATAATTAGATCTATCCCTAAGGAGCAAAAAGAATTGCTTCTCATTATTGATTAGTGCTAAGCAAATAACACAACATAAACTGGCTAATTTATGCTGATGTTAACTGCTGTTTGAATCAGGAGATTAAATGAGATTTATGGAAAGCAATAATTCATTATGTGTTATCAGTTAATGAAAGTGAATAATGAGGCAATTCTTTACTGGCTGCTGTTACAAGAGTGGTTGTTCATATTGAAAGCACAAATATATTTGAAAAAATACTTAATATTCAAACGAGTTTTATATTTTTGTGTTTTCTCATTTTAAACTAAAATCAACACTAATTTATAAAGCTGTACAATATTGGTCAAATCATTATAATTATGTATTCTTTGATTTGTGTAATTGCCCGCTTTGATGGCTTCTCTTCAA